GGGTCCCCACTGGGGTGCCTGGCAGCCTGGGTGAGGGGCTGATGGCTGTTCATAGGCTGGTCAAAGCCCCCGCAGTGGGGACCCTCACCCCCATAGAGGTTTGGCCAGTCTGGGTGAGGGGCTGATGGCTGTTTTCAGGCTGGCCACACCCCCTTTAGGGTTGGGGGTCCCCACTGGGGTGCCTGGCCAGTCTGGGTGAGGGGCTGAGGGCCGTTTTCAGGCTGGCTAAGCCCCCCGGTGATGGAAGCTCCCAGCCTCTCCTTTTTTTCTGTTTTTTTTTTTTTTTTTTTTTTATTCTGGGATTTATTTACCTTCTATAATTGAAACTTTGTTGCCTTCAGTGGAGCTCAGAGCCCCACTGCAGGCAGGAAGCTTGGCTTCCTGCTCGCTCCAGCTCCGTGGCCACGGCCACTGGAAGCAGGTATCTGGGGGTTTATTTATCTTCTATAATTGAAACTTTGTTGCCTTCAGTGGAGCTCAGAGCCAGCTGGGAAGCTTGGCTTCCCCCATCACTGGAGCGCAACCAAACCTCCTGCTCGCTCCAGCTCCATGGCTGCCGGCCGCCATCTTGGTTGGGTTAATTTGCATATAGTCGCTCTGATTGGCTGGTGGGTGTGGCTTAAGGTGTAGCGAAGGTACGGTCAATTTGCATGTTTGTCTTTTATTAGTGTAGATATTTTAAGGCTGGAAGTCCAAGATCAGGGTACCAGTGTAGTTGGGTGCTGGCCTTGTTACAGGTTATAGACTTCTTTTTTTTTTTTCTTTTTTCTTTTCTTTTTTTAAAAATAATTTTCCTCCACCAGGGAATTCGAAATTATAGTCTCCTTCTTGGGAGGGGTCTGGTTACTCAGAATCCTGGGTCTGGATCTGGCAAGTTATGAGAGAGCTGATCACAGTGGATATAAATTAGATCGGTTCCGCCGGGTTTGCGGCGGACACTCCGTCCTCCTGTGTGGCTCTCGGCTTCTGCCAGGTTGTAGACTTCTTGAATCCTCACATGGCCAAAGGAGAGAGAGGCCTCTCTGCAGTCTCTTTTATAAGGGCACTAATCCCATCTGTAGGCTCTCAGTCTTCATGACCTAATCACATCCCAAGGACCCCCACCTCCTTGAGCGCTGGATTTCAACATGAATTTCAGGGAACACATTCAGGTGATTGCATCTGGCATTTTCATTATTTGTATAGCTTCTGTAAATTATATCTACCTTTTCTTGGCTATATATAACTCATAATCACTTAATGAGTTTACGTTGCTAATTATTTGAAAGAACTTCTTTCAATGATATAAGTCAATAGAGAATTTTGATAGGTTCACACTAAGCTTCCTAGCAGGTATATTTAAAAGAAATGAGAGCTGTTAATAGTGCAGTACTCAAAAGTACTTTCCCCTAAGCAATCAACACAAATTGTCTAGGTGGTTCAAAGGCTATGCATCTTGAATAACTCTAAGAAGATTAAACAAGTTTGGAAATTAGTACTTAAGGAATCTAGAAGATTTTCAAAGTATATCAGTATATTGAAGGCTCTGAGAGGCCCTGTATTAAGAGAATCTGTTAACTTTGGTTAAAGTTCAGTAAAGTTAAACTTATTTGACATTGCCCAGAGCCAATTTTACCTTATCATTGGTATGAGAAACCAATCACAACTTAAACCATTGGTTATTCACACTATTTTGGAACACTAGAGTATATAGAAGGTGTCTTGATGTACATAAGAAAAACTAGTCAACAATGACCTCAACTTAATTTCAGTTACAACACCTTTTTAAAATTTGATTTGCATGTTAATTTACATAAAATATCCTTGATTTGTAAAAAATGTATGTTATTTTCTGCCTCAGTTGACCCCAGATGTTAAGATAACTACTTCTAATAATAATAAGTAATACTATTTTTGTAGATGGCTATAATTTTTAATGAATTTTAGGGCTGTATTAATTTCAGCTGATCATTACAACCCTTTCATATTGAAGTGGCATATTGTCTCATTAATAGATAAGAGTAAGAACTATAAAAAATCATCTCTTTCAGATCTTTAATTTTTTTGCTCCCACACTGTGCTGTTTCACAAATATAAGAATTAAAGTTACTTCTATCAATGAAATGAATCAGTTTTTCATATAGCAAAATGTTAGCCTATATATTATTATAATATCAGAGCTCTGTTTATACAAGATATTTTCTAAAGTGTTTAAATTATGTCCTGTTAATGCAGATAACCCATTGTAAAAATGATTGTTATATTTTATTAGTCTTATGATACTTTTGTTATATCACATCAATTTTATAATATCTTTTAAAAAAAGCAAGTGAAAGTGATTTCTCATTTATTCATTCTTATCAAAAAAAGCTTTTAACTGATATATTATTAGTAGTTTCCTTATTATTTTATTTGTGAAATGTATGATTGGTCCTCATGCAACTAGTTATCTCTTTATTGATGTCTTGAAAATTAAGTTATTAACAAAGTTAATTAAGTTAAAGTTTTTAATGAAGATTTTTGTTTTCTAGTTACTCGAATGTATTAAATGACTACAAAATAGATATTTGTCAATTCTTTAATACTCTTTCTGTTTTAAAATGATAGTTGTTTTGTTGGGGTTTTTTTTTAAGGAGCTCTCTAGCAACCTTTGATTCTAATTACCTTCCTCTCATCCTAATCACTAAACACCACTAATTGAAATAAGTCTGCACCACAAAATTGACAAATATTTAACTCTGTCCTTGAGTAAAATGTTAAAGAAAAACTAAAAAAATTATCTTTGGCTTTAACCTAAAGATAACATCAATTCATTTACTGGCATTAGTAATGTTGTAATATAATACAGTGAAATTGCAATGTCCGTATATACTTTCTATGAAATATTTATCAGTTGGACAAAACTACAGTAAAGTCGATATATTGTGTTTTATATTCATTCCCAATAGAGTTTCATTAGGAACTACTGACGTAAATTGGCAGTGTTTTTACCACAGATCTTTACAAATATATCTAAAATTTGGTCAAAGAACATTTATTTTTAAGTGCATATATTTTGTTACAGTTTTAAAGGCTTCACAGTTCATTTTTCTTTGAGAGCTTTGCCTATATGTGAATATTTATACTGCTTATACTGCTGCTGTAGCTAAGAACTGATCTATGACTTAAAAGTGGGAATATGTTTTTATAAAATTACGATATTGCTGTTACACATGTTCTGTTGACCCAGAGGACACTGGATTGCAGGGTCATTGTTGGACTTTCAGAGGAGTGTTTCAGCTTGAGGTCTTTATGCATTTGGTGGAGATATAAGTCAAATTTCCCAACTTTGATTCTCTAAATCTGTATTTCCCTTTTGAGGAAACACACTACAGTGGCTTTTCTGGTTTACCACATTCTAAACTTGTATGTTTTGGGTCATGGCCAGTATCACTGACTCATAGCCAGGCTGTAGGGGGTCCCTGACCTTATGGTGTGTTTTCACTCTAACAAGTTCTGAAGCAAAAAACTGGCCATCTCACTTTCCCTAGGAGGCAATGGAGGCACCATACGATTACACCACCCACTGCTTATTTCTACACAGTGAGCCAAAACCACAATAACACGCTAACTACTGTGTTGCTTTGAGGGCCTTGTGAATTGGGATAGTACAGGTCCAGATTATCACCTATTTTCTATAAATAAATATTTTATTTTTGCTAAGCAAAATGCAGTCTAATAACAGAGGCATTATAATACTTGCATCTTTAATAACATGATTTTTCTTGAAGGAGAGAAGTCCAGAATAGTAAAAATAGTTAATAACCTTTTCCAAATATTTTTGTAACTTAAGAAACAGTCACTTGAACCAATTTGCCATTTATCATTGAGTCTTATTCTGAGTGATAAGGAAAAACAAATCATTAAGTAAACTCTATCATATATCACAAAATTAGTGACCTTTTCATGTGTGTGTTGTTGTTTTTTTTTTTGTAGATATCAAGAAATACTGAAATGCTTATTCCAGAATCGAGAAGAAATTAGGAAAGAATATCTGAAGTTAGAAATGTTACTTAAAGAAAATGAACTTAAGTCTTTCTATCAACAACAGTGCCATAAACAGATAGAAATGATGTGTTCTGAAGACAAAGTAGAAAAGGTATTTAACAACTTTTAAATTAAATATTAGAAAATGTAAACCATGGGAACTTACAGTTCTAGAAATTTGAAAGTCATTGTTATGTAATCACCCATTCTTGACAGCCACCTGGCAGTTCTGGAGAAAATGTAGTAAGCGTTGTTATAAAGGCATAGCTTATTGTACAAGAAAGAAAATCAGTGGCAGCTTACTTCTGTGAGGGTTGTTGAAATGCCTAAGATGAATGAAGTTAACACACTCAAGGAGAGTTGAGTACTAAAGGTGAGGCAGGGGGAATAGTCTATGCCAGATGCAGGCAACTTAGACCAATGGCAATTTTTTCCCCAGGGAAGAATATTTTATCACTGACATTATTAGAATTTCCATAGCATGGTATTAAGAAAAGCAGACCAACTTTGAGTTGGTTTTATTTAGTGCAGTAGTACACTGCCCTCCCTTTCAAAGCACACAAAACACTCTTACTTCCTTGCCTTAGATGTATACCACTATTTAGGTAATGGACCCAAGAGAGGCAGGGGGTTAGAAATGACAGCCACCACATAAAGCTGGGAACCTCAGAGGCCTGCATCCTTCATATTGGGAGTGCACCAGGAAAAAAATCTTACCAACTAGCACAGGAAGACAAGGCAACAAGCCCAAGTGATAAGGAAAAACAAATCATTGGAAGACTTTCGTTATAGACATACTTTTCACAGGATTTGAGATTTGAATTCTTACAATATTGTGTTTTATTTAGCAAATTTCTAAGATGAGAAGTTAACATAGAAAATGGTATCAGACCAGTGATAATCTATGGGCACCTGGGCAGAAGTAATGCAAAATGAACCTAGTAAAATACCTTCAACTTAAACCACCAATGAGAATTTACTATCCAAAATTCAAAAAATGTGGTGGAACAGTTCATCATAAACAAATCAACAGCTTACAAATATGATATAATACTCAAAACTTTAGCTAATAGAACAATCTAATAAAAAGTATAAAAATGAATAAAGTCATCAAAATGAATGAATGAATGAATCAAAGATAAAAGAATATCTATATCTGAGAAAAAAACAAATGAAGTATCCAGAAATTAAAGTTTAGTTAATAAATTTAAAATTTCGCTTTATAGATACAATACTAGGCAATGTTTTAAGTACTTTATGTATATTAAATCATTCAGTTCTATGAAATATATACTATTATTATTCTCATAATTAAGGTGAGGAAACGAGGCACATATAATTCATTTTGCCCAAGGTCGCAGAGCTCATAGGTGTCAAAAAGCTGTGATCTGAACTCAAGAAAGCTGATTCCGGAGCCTATGCTCTTATCTCTATGCTTTTTGCATCTTAGATATAGCTAAAGAGAGAATTAAGGAACTGGGAAGTCTGAGGAAGTCAGAGGATAAAAAGATGGGAAATGTGAATAAATGGATAGACTCAAAATTCATGCATTTATCTAACAGGAGGTGTATTAGTACAAAAGGTGAAACTATAATATGCACAGTTTAAGGCTCAGCATGTTTTAGAACTAGTAAGATGTAAACTCAAGAAGCATGAGTTCTAAGCATCCTATATAATAAAGGGCTAATATGCAAATTGTCCCCTTGACCGGGAGTTCAACCAAAATTTCGACCAGAGGGCGGGGGAGCAGGCTGGCCAGACCCGCCTTGCATGAATTCGTGCATCCAGCCTCTAGTGATAAAAATAAAATGGTATACATGGACATGTACAGAGCCAGGTCACCAAAGAGTGGAAAAATAAACATTTTGAAAATACTGGATAACTTTTTTTTGCCTCAGTTTTGGTATTCATTGAGGATCAGGTTAATTTTATTTTTTATGTATTTATGTAATATAATTACATGGGTATTGCACAAGATACATTCATATATTATTTATTAAAAAGCTTTCTCTTATTACTTCCAAGTTCTCTTAGACCACCACCTCAGATGTGTTTTCATGTAGTTTTCTGCTTCCAAAATCAGCTGCAGGAGCATATATTAATTCATGGGGATCTGTTTTCTTGGGTCCAGCCATCATAATCGATGATTATCAAGTTCAGTGTCTTTTTGGCAAATAGCCCAGACAGGTCAAGCTGCTCTAGCCCACAGTTTCTATGAAAGTGTGCAAGACCCTTGGGGTAAGAAACCAAAAGGCCAGTTTTGATCTCAGTTCAGGCCTAGGTTAAAACACAGAAAATATTTGGAATATCCATTATGCATTAAGCAAGATCAGATATTTATGACCATTCTGATATAAGCTCTATTTTCAATTATTTGCACCAGCCAACCTAAAGGCCTTATAGGTAAAATCAGAGCAGTAAAACTCTATCTCTTCACATCTTTCAAATTGGAGTGAGGACAAGAATAGGACATGTATCTATTTCAATTTTTAGTAAGAAAATCATGGGACTTATCAGTGTATGGAATTTTCAAATGAAACATTTAAAGAAATGTATTTTAACACACTCATACACGAAAGTTATTTATAGTCTTCAATTTGGCCATTCTGTTTCTGAAAGCCATAAACTCTCAACATGTAATTTTATAAAATGACTCACAACTCAGTTTTTATTTTCCTGCAAGCAGTAGTATTGTGAGATTTCAGAGAAGAAATAGCTTTAAGTACGAAAGTATAGCCTTACTTAATAGACTGCAGTAGCACACTTATGAGAAAATATACTATTTTACTAACATCACATGCATCAGTTATCCTAAGAATTAAATTGACTTAAATGCATTGTTTTTCAGGCCACTTGCAAACGAGATCATAGACTTGCAATGTTAAAAACTCGTCGCTGCTACTTACAGAAGAAAAGGGAAGAAGAATTGAAGCAATTTGATGAGAATACTAATTGGCTCCATCGTGTCGAAACCGAAATGAGACTCTTAGGTCAAAATGGTGATATTCCAAAGGTACAGACGTGTATACAGGCATACCTCATTTTGTGAGTTCATTTTCAAACCACTGCAATTAAGCAAATATCGCAATAAAGCAAGTAACAAATTTTTCCCAGTGCATATAAATATTATGTTGATAGTATATTGTAGTCCTTGTATGCAATAGCATAATATGTAATAAAATGTTTATGCCTTAATTTAAAGGTATTACTAAAAAAAATGCTAACCCTCATCTGAGCCCTCATTGAGTCAAAATTTTTTTGCTGGTGGAGAGTATTGCCTCAATGTTGATGAAAGCACAGTATCTCCAGAGCACAATAAAACAAAGTGTGCCTGTATATTCAGATTTATTTTGTAAGAACTGAGCTCTTTGACTCATTGTCTTTGTTCTTGAGTGGATATTTTTTGTAAGAAAACTATTGCTCCATTTCTCTGAGATTTAATTGACTAATTTTACGTTTTTAACTGAGCATATCAACTGCATCACTAATTGCCTACTAGATTTGCCTTTACTTTCAGAAGAGTAAAGTTACTTTTAAATGTTATTCTGTTTTGTTGTTAATCCTCACCTGGGGATATTTTTCCATTGATTTTTAGAGAGAGTGGATGGGAGGGAGGGAGGGAGCGAGGGGGAGAGAGAGAGAGAGAGAGAGAAAGAGAGAGAGAGAGAGAGAGAGAAAGAAACATCGATGTGAGAGAGACATATCAACTCTTGCCTCCCTCACGTGCCTTAACCAGAGCCCAGGATTGAACCTGCAACCAAAGTATGTGCCCTTGACTAGGGATTGAACCCGTGACCCTTTGGTCAGTGGGCCAGTGCTCTAACCACTGAACAACTGGCCAGGGCCAATGGAACTGATTTTGATTCAAATAACTAATACTTTAAAAGAACTTCTTTACACGGTTTTGTTTTGTTTTTTCTTTATCCTCACCTGAGGATATGTTTATTGATTTTAGAGAGAGGGAGAATGGGGTTGGAGTGGAGAGAGAGAGAGAGAAACATTGGTTGGTTGCCTCACATACATGCCCCAACCAGGATCAAACCTGCAACCTTTTGGTGTATGGGTCAACTCTCCAGCTGAGTCACTTGGCCAGGACCTTTACACTTTTTTTAAAGGAGTAGCAACTTTACTTTGATGTTGCTCTTCTGAAATTTTGTACTATGTATAAGCTAATTTTGGTATTTAATTCTAGAATCTTTTAATTTCAAGAAAAGCAGTAGACTGAAAATGTAACTTGAAATTCCAAGCTAGTCTTGAGGCATCTAAAACTGTAGAGGTTCATCATAAAATGCAGCAGTCTCCCTCAGCTACCCAAGCCATGTTCTGGATAAAAAGTTTCAGAGAAAACAGCTGATATGTCTAGCCAAAGGAGTGTTTCTCATTCAGTGTACAAGCACTGATTCTCTGGGAAAGTTAACAGATGTTGAATGTTTATCATAGCTTTTGGTTTGTTTTACTTATTTATAATGAGTTTTATTTATTTGCTAAAGACCATGTGTATCTAAAGCAGTCTTAATCTCAAGACAATCATTGTCTAAATGACATGAAATTATCAGTATTTTTGTTAGAATTAAAATTTTTTTACCTTATTTTACAATAACTACTAGATTCTTAGTTTTCTTTATTACTATTACTTATGATCATGATCTAATAGAATATTTAGCTCTTCGAGTGAGCAAAAGCTTTTTCATGAAGAGCTAAAAAATTTTGTGCATATAGTAAAATGTAACAAAATTTATCATTTTAATCATTTTTAGGTGTATGGTTCAAGTAGCATTAGTACATTCACTAAAACATTAATATATATAGTTTTTAAGTGTTTTTTTTTTTTTATTTTTTTATTTTTTTTTTATTTTTCGCTAAAAGTATTACAAAGGGTATTACATAAGTGTCCTTTTTTCCCCCCCACCCTTGACAGGCCCCTGCCCTCCCTTACCCCCCAGTGTCTTATGTCCATTAGTTATGGTTATATGGATGCATACAAGTCCTTCGGTTGATCTCTTATTCCCCTCCCTCCTGTCCCCCAACCCTCCCTGGCCTTCCCACTGCAGTCCGACAATCGGTTTGAGGCAGCTCTGCCACTGTATTTATTATTGTTCAAAAGTTTGTAATGGTCTTAATTATCCATGAAAGAGTGAGATCATGTGGTATTTTTCCTTCATTGACTGGCTTGTTTCACTTAGCATAATGCTCTCCAGTTCCATCCATGCTGTTGCAAATGGTAAGAGTTCCTTCTTTTTAACAGCAGCATAGTGTTTTTAAGTGTTATTACTGGAGTATTTTCATCACAATAGCCTTACCTAATTTATATTATACTCGTAACTAGAGGCCGGGTGCATGAAATTCGTGCATGGGTGTGTGTGTGTGTGTGTATCTGCAGCCAAGCCTGCACCCTCTCACAATCTGAGACCCCTCGGGGG